TTCAGTCAATAAAATAAATTTGTGTTTAATAGATTATAATATTTTTCTAAAGAAAAATTAAACTCATTATTAACCTGTTTGAAGGTTTTAACGTTGTGTTATCATATAATAATAGTTCATATACTATAAATAATAATATAATTTTTTAAATTTTAAAAATACAATTCATTGTCTTCATAATATATCGGTTTCAAAATTTGTAAATTGCTTAAAACTTTTTATTATATATTCCTATATAAAATCATTGTTTTTGTATTAAAAATATACTATTTATTATAGGTATTTATTATAATTATAATAGTTTATTGTGTGATTACTTGTTGTGTGTTTACTGTTTGTAATCATAAAAGAACAAATATCAATAAAAATGTTTTTAATAATTTCAGTTTATTATTTTTTGAAAAAAATATAAAAAAATGACAACTTTTTTTGATATATCTCGATATTTTAAAAAAATTGGTGAAAATTGCCCGATTTAATGGGTGACAATATTATTTATTTAATATGTGATTTGTTAATGGTAAATAAACGGTTTGATATGCCAAACCAAATAAATCAATAATTTAAAATAAAAGCTAAAAGAGGCGCAGTTGTAAAAAATATATAAAACAACACCAGTTGTATTTATTGGAACAAATAAAAAAGTTGGACAAAAATACCCAACAATAACCTCTATACTACAAAAACGTAGTACAAAAAAAGAAAAAATTGAACGTTTTTTTACATTAAAAAGAACATAAAGAAAATCTTTTTGTTCCGTAACGGCTCTGTGGCTCACCTAAAATCTTTATCAGTAGAATGAATGATTTGAATTGAATTTTTTATATATGTATATTGTTCATGTATTTTATTTAAAATAGTATTGGTTTGAATAGATAAACTTATCATCATAACAATTCTATAAATTTTTAACATGATAAAAGTGGCAACATGAAATCAACAACAATTATTAACACGGAACTTGACTGCTTTATGTATTTGTCTAATTATAAATGCTTCGAGTTAATCAACGAAAACACATACTTGTATGCTAATCAGAAAAGAACTAGAAAATGGTATCCCATTGATGTCAACGAAATGAAAGCTTTTATTCATGTGGCAATAAAATAGTGTGTAAATAATGATAATAAAAACCAATTCAAAAGAAGTTTCACCCTTTTACCTTGCTATTTTTCTGGATATTGTCACGATTGCAAAGAAAAAAAACAACTGCCTGTTGTGACATTTGTAGTGCAACCTTATCCACTTAATCATGTGGTGATTACAATCGCGTTTTATGTGGTGAATGCTTAAAAAGATAGCTTGATTTTATTGTTATTCATTTTGTTTTTTATTTTTTACAAAAGGATCTGGATAGAAAATATCCAGTTTTCCCTTTCCAGCAAAAAAATTGGCAAAAACGAGTGACTTCCTAAGGTTAAAAATGACCGCGGCAAAAAGTCTCCATCTGTGAAGAAAAGGTTTTGGAGATCGCAAAAACAAACATAACTATGGATTTTACTAAAACTACTTTATTTTTGTCATAAAAACAAAGAAAATATACCGCTTTTCATTTTAAAATGCATTTTTGAGACAAGTTCCAAATTTTTCGCTGTTGCGTAATAAACCCTGCTTCAAATTAAAATCATTTTATTTTAGTTTGAATGATTTTATTTTTGGTTTTTAATTGAAAAAAATCATTATGAAAAAGGTAATAATAATTTTAAATGAGATTTAAATAAAATTAAATATAAAAACAAATAAACTCTATAAACATACATGGAAAACGAGTTAACAGCACTCTCAGCACTCTGCACTAACGCAGCAAAGGCGGTGTCAGACCTCAACAAAAATAAAAGGGAATACAACTTTGTTGACAACAAGTCACTTAACATTGATCAACGCATCGAAAATGCAGAGGGACACTTCGACAGACTCGATGAGGTATTTGATAGAAAGAAGAACATCACAACTTTACTCAACACAATCGTCACTGATTTGGACAACACATCAAACAAAATCAAAAGTGAGATAAGTCTGTATTCAACACAGAGTGACAACGACAAGTTGTATGAGATATTCAATGTCAAAATAGCACTTTATGAGGAAAAGTGTAAAATGGATATAAAACCACTTGAAGATTAAATTAACAGAATCAAACAAGCAAAAAACAATAAAATTGATCAAATTATGAAATCGGAAAAATTCATCAATTCAAAAAGACAACACGACAACGATGAAGAGAAAGAAGAAGAGACAATGAAAAGCGAACACATCACACTTGAAGAAAAAGCCGGTCTTGAGAAGTTGACGGGAATGAAGATTGCTAATGTTGTGTTTGACTCAGACAAAAACGATTGGTCAATGTACACTCCAGTGTTTAATGCAAAAGTTATCAACAAAAGCAACTTGTGCTTTTTGGTAGAAGACACAAATCACAACAAGTTTCGACAGTTGCAGCATATCTACTCTTTGTGTCCCGTTGTATCTTTCTGAAGTATGTTAATTGAAAAGTAGTTTGGTATTTTTATTTATTATGGGGTTTTTCAAACTTAAAACTATAGTAAAATTATTAAAAACATATTAAAGTTGATATTTTTAATTTGAAAACAAATAGCACAAATGTTGATATAATTATTTATAATTAATAATTTAGTAACACAATTTATTTTTTAAAGCAAAAAACTAAGAAAAGATCAATAAACATAATTAAAATATTACAATTGACAGTATATAGTAAATTGACTATTTTAAATAAATAAAAACATCAGTGATGTTGTGAAATGAATCGCTACTTTTAAATGTATTTTTGGGTTCTACAGATAAAGTTAATATGATTAAATCAATTTGTATCGATTTTGTATCGAAACCCTGGTGATGTTCTCTTATTAAAATAGAACATCACAATCTTTTTTGTCATTGGAAATATCCATCACTCAATGAAAATTATTTGAAAAGGCATCTTTGAAGACTCAAGGCATCTAGTTGAAATTAAACTATAAAAATAATAAAAATATTATATTTTTGACAACTAGACTCTTGTATTTTAACTAAATTTTAATTTAAAAAAACTATAAAACAATGTAATAATAATTTATCCTTGTCTTTTTGTGTTTTACTTGAATTGAATTGTTCGTAGATTTAAAAGTAATTGCACTCACCCGATTAACTTCAAGTTGTTTGTTGTTCAGATATTCACCAAATTTTCTGATATGTCTTCCAACTCAACAATTATCAATTCATCGTCTCTGACCGATTGTTGTGTCTTCTTCAAATCCGATTGTGTCTTACCAATTTGAGTGTTGAAAGTAGACTCCTTCTGTTCGAATTATGCAAGCTTTCTCTCGGCCTCTTCGACTTTTCTGGCATACTGTTTAGCTTGTTTCTTAGCTTTAGCAGCCGCGTTTTGTGCTTCTTCTTTTTCTGTTTCGATTCCTTCCAATTCTGTTTCATATTTTGCTTTCAATTTAGCAATAGAAGCTCCAGTAGCACCGGCGTCTGCCAATTTAACTTCAGCGTCGGTGACTTTGGCTCTAAGTCTTTGAGTTTCCTTGTCGGGTTTTTGTTTCATTGCTCTCTCTTTCTCAAGTTGCTTCTGTGAATCAGCCTTTTGAGCAGTCAACGAGTTAATAGACTTCTCGGCGTGTTCCTTATATTCACCGAATTCGTTTTCGTTCTCCATCACTTCTCTGAGTTTGTCTGCATATTTCTTCTTCCGTGCTTTAGCCTGTTGAGCGGTGGTTCTTTCAAGATCAAGTTGCTCATTCAATTCAGTTAATTCCTTCTCATAAGTGTTCTTTGACTGTTTTAAAGTGTTGCCTCCAATTCAGTCTTCAGCTCAGACAAGTCATCTTCAAGTTTGTCGCATTCGTCTTGTTTCTCGTCGAGTTCAGTATTTGTTCTCATCAATTCTTCGGAAGTGGCCTTATAGTCTCTCATAGTCTCGACCTTCTCTTGTTATTTGCTTCATCTAAGTTGAACTGGACTTCCTGCAATTTGCTCTCAGCAGCCTTTCGAGCAGCATCTACATTGTCAGCTTTCTGTCTTTCTTCATCAAG